ATTTGAGGACAATAGTTTTCTTTCAGAGGGTGATGAAAAAAATCAATATAAGCTTCATGTCTGTGCATTATATACAGAGCTAGAAGTGGGATGTGGATAGCCTAGCTTAGCATAGGAGGAAATGGCTGACCTAGTTTTGCCTGAATTAACAAATAAAAAAACAAATAAAAAAAAACTTTTTAAAGCTTTTCAGTTTGTATGTTGTATCTTCTCTGGTTACATCATACATAAACAATAATTTGTCATTTGTGGAGTTACATGCTGTGACTATATATTGACAAACAGCAGCACAGTCATCCTCAATGAAGCAAAGGTTGCGGTATGATAGTACCAAACCTGGCAACCTTGCTATGACGTGCAGACCGAGACAGCCAGGCTAGCTGTTACTCGTCATTATACTAAGTTAGGTCTACCTTTTTGTGATACTCATACTTGCTTCCTGGCACTGAACTGAGGCTGTATACTAAACATTACTGTAATGAAACATGAAACATTGTGGGGGGATAAACCCCCCCCACAATGTTTCATTTTTACCCTTTAGTTTTGTGTGGACTGTGGGATATGACGTGTTAAGTGGCCTGTTTTGTCACAGACAGAACCAGCCACACTGTTTCCTGTAACTGTGCTAAGCTAACTGTAACTATCCCTGTATATTATAACAACTTTGCACTATGTGTGTCTGCAGTCAGAGAGTTCTAAGATCTTCATGTCTGAGAAATATCTTGTGATATCACGAGGGCAAGTTGATGACAAGTGTTTGTATGGTTCAGGAAACACAACAAAATGGAACTTTTGTCACATGTACAGATGTCACTACACCATAATAACAAGGATGTAGTTAAAATATATCCCCATTATGTATTTTCAGGGCATCTGTATAACTTCAAAAACTATTTTGTTTTCCCAGTGAAATGTTGAGTTTCATTACAGAGTTGAAAATATATATTTGGATGTCCATAAATGTGGGATTTCACTTCGTTTAAGTCCACAGACATATTTCAGTTCCAAAAATTCCCCCCTGACAATGTCACATGTTTTTCTCGTGACAGCTTTCAAGCATAAATAAAGGAATTAATCTGCGTTTATACTTTACCTAACATAATGCATTCAACATATATTCAGAGCTCATGATCAAATCTGCTTTTTTAATCAGAATACAATACCCTGAGGTAAACACTGAGTCAAAGAGAAGCTGATGAGAAACAGAGCCAAGTCCACCCAGACTGGTACTTGTATAATTTTTGATGAAAAGGCTTCACTCCAGTGAAAAGAAGAATGAAATCTGATGTGTGAACTCCTCATATGGATGACCTGAAAAGTGCTAGGTTGTAGAACCGACGCCTCTTCTTGGGTAACAGAAGAAACATGCTAGCTTTTCATTTTGTATTTATTTGAGCTGTTTTTCCAGATAACCATCACACTAATGGATTTATGGGTCCTTGTGTCACGCTTGTGAAAGCCCTATTGCAACCTTATGAAATTCCTTAAGACATACATGCTATGGATTGACTGCTCTTCGTTATAAATCGTGGGTGTTATCAGTTATCAAACTTAGCAGATCATAAAGTCTTTCATTAAAGCCATAAATGTCTGGATTATTTTCCTGAGGGTAGATGCTACAAGGCCACTGTGGTATAAGTCAGTTATATCATATTGCTTATTTCCCAGTGTCATATACAGGCTGTGTCACAGCTGCCTCATAGCGTGTCTGCACAGTTCTCACCCCATGTACAGCATGAACTGACTGTGAACTGTGCAGGTCCAGGAAAGGTGAAACGTCTCTTTCCTCATGCCTCTCTTTCATAAGACTCAGCTTACAAAACAGACACTTTAGTTCCCTTGACAGTCTGCAAACTTATCACCCTGTCATTTTTTTTTTTTTTTTTTTTGTCAAAGCTGTGATGTCTTTGGGACCTAATTGGAATGACAGTCATGTGATAAAAGTGTGAGGCTTTGAACAGAGAGTAAAAGGGGGGTAAAGGCGTGGCCCTCTTGGCTTCATCATCCTTTCCATTTGTCACACTGTTTGCCCTCATCAGCCCCTGTGTTCTCCCATGTGGCTGGACAGCAAGACAGATGGATGCGATGGATGGAAATGGACGCCCTTCCCTTGGTTGTGAACTCAGACTCACACCAGCCAGGGTTGATTAATTTGTGACTTTTAGTCCTGTGATGTTTACTCAGGAAATATGATATTATCAAATGACTTGGATTGCTGCTCGGCTTGATGAATTAAGTTTATTTACTGCAACAAAAGTATGGTGTGACAAATTCTGACTTCCTGTCTCTGTCTGGCACCCAGCTGGACGGTCTGTCTAACATCTGACCCAGTGTCTCTTGACCCACCTTTCTCTGTCTGTCACTGGTTCTCACTTTGTCTGTGCTTCAGTGCATCCACTCATTTCAGGAAGTTTTACCACCCTCGGGTTGTATCAAATGACTTTGAGTCAAAGAGCCACTGATCAGGGAACTCAAACTGCACTTCCTTAATTGGTTCGCTTTCTCCCTTGTTCTGTTTTCACTGCTCAAGTCTGCAGATAAAAATAATTTCCCCCTTTTATTTTTATAATAAGTGTTAGTAGTGTTTCAGCCTGGAGGGATAAGATGGATGTGAAAATTGCCTGGACCAGAGAACAAAACTATTTAATTCCACAGTTTCAAATTAGCGCTCAAACAAAAGGAATCGTGATACTTTCCTGTGGATCTCTGCAAAAGCAGACACAAGGTTGCATAATTTAGTTGATACAAATGGATACTGGTGTTGTATGACAGATGACACAGTTGGCCAATCAACATGTGTAACTGCCTGTATCTAGGTCAAGTCTATACAGAGGTAACACAGATGGTGAGCAGCCACTTCCACATGAAGACAGGGATCTTTCTATCTCATTTGCTTCTGAGTCATGAGGGTAAGCAGTTAAGGGAGTATATTTATAGACCTGAGGCTTATGACTTAAGTCATGATTGCTTGAATTGGCTTATTTCCTATTTAAAAAATGGCTTTTACTACTAATGGCAGAATGGGACATGGAGGGATTGAGAATTTTTATGAAAAATTGAAAAGAATTTCAGAAAAAAATGGGCAAAAATACATAAAAAAAATGTGGGGAAAGTATCAAGGATGTCTTAATTGAACTGTAAGAGACGCCTAAAAGCACGTTATGCATTCCACAACGGTTAAAAAAGTTCAAATCCTGCTACTGTTAAATTGCTAATACACTGCCCCTAAATTTAGGTTTACATATCCTCACAAAATTACCTCTTCTCCTTTCCTATTTTACTCCCATTTTTTCTGAAAAGTCCTTGTCCTTGTGTAGTCTCTCCTTTTCTTTTTTTAAGTTGTGTTCAGCCATAAAACATTTGAGGAAACTTTATTCTTCCCCATTCAATTTTGAGTGTAACTGGAAATTCTTTGCCAACTATATAAAAGAAAGGAAAAGGAAAACTGGTTAAGGGCAGGATGAGGTCCTCGTCTCTGTGTCTTCATAGTGCGGGCCGGCGGCCAGGCACACTCTCATGCAAAACCTCATCACTGAAACTCTTCTCCTTCCCCTTTTTTTTCTCCCTCTGACTTTCTGGCAGAACAGTGTCACTCCATAAAAACGAATTATGCATAGAAAAATATGAAATGTCGGGATTTCTACAGAGCACACCGAGGGAAACTGCATCTGTTACTTTATACAGTGTTTGGTGTAGCTGTGCACTAACACTGATCATCTGTTTATTATTATTTCAAGATTTTGAACTGCTTGATTTGCTATTGATTCATATTTATAGACATATAGACAAAATTATGGGAAAATATGCTTACTTGTTTCCTTGCTAAAACTGTAGCTGGGGCCAGCAGCTCTTTTAGCTTAGCATAAAAACAGGAGAAACATCTAGCTTGGCTCTGTCCAGAGATTAAGAAATCTGCCTAGTAGCATCTCTAAAGATCACAAATTAATATGTTCTTTTGTGTTTGTTAAGCCAACACAACAACAAAGCTGTATTAATGACCATTTTCCATTTCCAGTCTCATCAAACTCATGATGAGAAAAAAATATTTCCCAAAATGTTGAGTTATTTCTTTAACAAATCAGGCACATATTATTTAATAAAAAGCTACAAGCTTGTACTTTGAAATACTGGCTGCATATAAACCTCACCAACTATTTGTTTTGTGTTTATCTTCTGTGGTCTTTTTCCTTTCAGGCCACTTTCCATAAAACAGCCACAGGCAGATCACACACACAGCATCTAACAAGTGAGAGTATTGACTCAGCGTGGTCTCAGAAGCCTTGACTTTTTCTTTGAAGTTGTAAAAACTCCCACTAGAAGTCACTTGTAAGTGAACAAAGTTACCAAACAGATTTAAATGAAGGTCGATGAAGACAATAACAACACACAAGGGGATGGAAACCTACATGAGGGTTTATGGCTTTCCGACCCCTCCCCAGATAAACAAGAATGACCTGACCTGCTTGTAGTGTGTGTGCTGTGGTGGGGTAATATAACACACAAAGTTTTGGAAATGCACTCCAAACATACACATCCACAAAGGCTAATAAAATTTATGTCACATTTCCAAGCACGATCACAGTAAATAATAGCCTCCCTTGTACTTTGACTGAGGCTTGGGCTATGAGGAGGGTGGTCACTGGACTCCCCAATGTGATGGCACTGCACTAATCTGCCCTGTATGGCCCATTCACGTGTTCAACACCATTGTTTGCACATTCTAAAGAGAAACTGCAATGCTACCCAGGGGAATTGTAAATTTGTTGTGGGGAAACCAATTGCTACTCTAAATTATAGCCAGTGTCGTTGCAATCTCATCACTTCTCATGCTTATTTTCTATATACTACTTGTAAGTAGGGCCTTTATATAATAATAATGATGCTTTGGCAGGAATTGCGTGCAGCTGTTAATGCAGAGACGCCATGAGAAGATGGGAAGCATATTACGAAATATGTGTGAACCTGGGAAAATCGAGTTTCTTTATGTGTAATGTTTTTCCCTCAAACCCGATCAGTGCTGCAATTTATTACCCGGTAAACACGTGGGAGTAGTATTTCAGCGCAACAAGATAAACTACTACACCATATCTCGCGATAAAGGACGCTCCCTCTGTGCTCGTCTATTGTGAGAGTTTTCCAACACTCGCGTGATCTTTGAAGTTTCCCACGCCTGTTGTTGTGGCGTCTGCCCTTTTCGCTCACTCTCTCTCTGTTGATGCTACCCGCCGCCTCCCCTTTTCTCTCTGTCTTCCTCACCCACCCCCTTTCTCTCCGTCTCTCTTGTCCCTACACCTTCAGTCTGCTTCTGTTGTCTCGGCGGATTGTTGGGCTGTGGGAGAGAAAGAATATCGCGAGTATTGGAGTTTTGGTGAGAGTTTGTGGAAGATGGCGCCTGTTGTGACAGGGTGAGTCTGAGATTCGGGGCTGGTGGTGGGGAGCGGAGTTGAAAAGAATACAAGTTTTTACCATGAAATAGCCCACTTTTAGTCATTGTGTTATAGCGTGGGCATACTGCAGTCTTCTGGCCACTGCTCTAGTCGCTAGAAGTCGTTTCTTTGTCTCAATGTGGTTGCGTGCGAGTGTTTTTTTCTTTGAGCGGTTAACGTTACTTGCCTGAGCTGACTGTTGCTGCAGTGTTGTGTGAGCTAGCGCCAGCTAAGCGATACTTCACCCTCGGTGGTCTTTTTCCCAGACAACGGCGAGCTGATAGCTAGCAGGCTAACCAGCGAGCTAGACACAGCCACTGTGGCATGTTTCAGAAAATAATGTAACGGCGATATATCGCTCCTCCCCCCAACAAGCTCACACCGAAAGCACTCGTATAATTTCTCGTCCTGCATTTGTTGTAGAAACGGTGCTCTCCAGTTAGCCGGGCAGCACGTTTACGTATTGGATTAACACGGTTAGCTGTCCGATAATGGACGCCAGCTAGCATTATCTCACAGAAGCACGTTGCGGCTTTGTGAGCAAGTCATCCTTTTAGCCAGTGTCTTGTATATGTTGACACAGTTGAGACAGTTTTCGCTTTATATTATGTACATGCTGTAATTTTTAAGCTTCGCGGTACCACGTACAGTGAATAGCGTGTAGTTAAATGACTACAGCTCTGTAGGTGACGTTAATGACTGTTTTGGAAAATATTTACTGCATATATAGCGATCCACCCATAAACTGTGTAAAAGAATTGCTAAATAAACTCTCATCCTAACACTGTATCTGTATCTGTGGATGTGGAGTGCATCTAAGGACATAATAAACACAACCAAGTGTGCTTAACCCCATGGTCGCTCAGACACTGTCAGCATCTTTAATATAGCAAGAGCCGCTGATTTAGTTTTTCATTTTCAATTTCAACGCAATGATTCTGACTTTTTGTTATTGTGAAAAACTTGCCATGCTCTTCCCTGTTTTTTTTTTTTTATATAACAGAAAACTAGCTGCTTAAATGTCAAATTAAAAAAAATTTGGGGGCAATTTTAAAATTTCATTTGTAAAATTGTTTCATTTTCTCAGTTTAAAATAGTTATGCTTAGTGCACATTCAGTAATCACTAGATAATGCATCTGTAAGTGTCTCACGCAAAGCTTTAATGGGAAAATGGTTTAATATTTTCAAACTGCCCCATTCAATTGATAGAGAATATCAAGCATATATTTCTTCTCAAAGCGGATTGGTGCTGCTTTGTGTTGTTACTCATGGCCTCATTAATGTGACCATAATATTCAGTGTAAATATGTCATAGTCTAGACCCATTGCTGTGTTTTAATGAGCTGATTGCCTTTTCTGCTTTGATCAGTCTGTGGAGTAAACCCTGATTAAAATTATTTGCCTTCACATTAGTAAGGCGTGAATCTATTTTTTGAACTGCTGAGGCAATAATCCCCACGACAGCTCTGTGGGTGCCAGACATTTTCTGGTCTTGTTGATGTGTGGTGTACTGGGGGTGGTTTGCTGTGCATGTTCATTTGGGGCTTTCCAGCAGACCTGAACTGATTTCAGTTGCAGGGGGGGTGTAGGGGGAGGAGGTAGAGGGAGGGAGAGAGCAAGTGAGAGGGCAGGCGGGTCAGGTCTGGGTGGCTGGCCACCTGTCCAGATGATATCTCCAGATTCATGTGTGTTTTTCTGTGAGCAGAGAAGAGGGAGTGGGGGTCTGTGTGTGAGAGGAAGATGGGGTGGGTGCATGTGTGAGAGAGGTTTAACAGAAAATTAAAGTGCCATAAGGGTTCTCTTTCTTTTTTCTTTTCTTTTTTTTAGCTAAATGGTAGCAATGGTTGGAGGCATCAAAGAGGTTTGCCTCCATGTGATGTATAAATGTTTCCGGCTTTAGACAGGGAGGGTCTCCACAACCACAGGCTTGATGACATGACTCTCTTTTAACAGTACTACTGAAAGGCTATAGTTGAATGTTCTGACTTTGACTTGAAAGTTGTACCTTATACCCACTTCACTTTCACAGTGATTAAAGTTTTAGGGTCTTGATTTTTTAGGTTTTTGCTGTAGGTCTGTGTTTTGGTATTGGCATAGTGCATAATTTATAATGCTGCTGAGAAGCTGTTTATTAACAAATGGTACATCATCAAGTAAATGTTGTCATCACTGTAGTGTTTGATACTAGAAGTGTAGGATTGCAGGTGGCAGTTAGTAATTATTAGGAGCCAGAATATATTTTGAGTGTTTTGCTTAACAAGTGTCTCTAATGATAAATCAGTTATCATAGTCACTGGTGATGATTTTTTGTCATTTGTTTAATCATTTCAGCTCTAGATGACACCATATAACTGTTGTGCGCATGTGTTTTTGTATATAGTCACAACATGAAAATGAAATCTCCTTTCATTTGCCATAGTAAACAAATTGCCCTCCCCTTATATTGCATGGTCTCTCTCAGAACGTTGAATGTTGCCAAAACAACAAAAACTGGCAAAACATCCTCATCATGGTCCTTCATGTAAGTAAGGAGCAATAAACAAAACTGATTAAAAAAACAGTGTTTATTTTATAATTTTTCCTCCCCTCTGCCAGAGAGTGATAGCTGAAACAGAAGTACTGTTCACCTGGGATGATAAAAGCATGAATCATTTATTTCAACACTGCTCTGCCTCTGCTGTGCCCCTTGGGGAGAGGATTCCATTTAGCTACCCCCTTCATCCCTCTGCCAAAAAATAAGAAGCGATGGACTCTCTTAGGCCAAAAGCCAAACTACTCTGTGCTGGTGTAGTGATACTTCTGAGCTTTTCTTTGAGACACAAACCTTAGGTTCTTCTGGTTCTTAGGATGAGTGTGTGGTTTGAGCTCTGCAGCTGTGTTGATGCTGATTGAGTGTATAAGGATGAGAGAGAGTGTCAGTACCTGGGCATAAAAGGTTATCTGTTTTTATGTGTGGGCGTGCACACACACCCACATGCATCTGTCCCCCGGGGTCCTCTCTTCTTTCCTGCTTCCCTTTATGAAAAGAGAGGTTCAGAGAGAGCAGCAGATGCCAAAGCGCTGACCTTTATGGTGGCAAAGGCTCAGGCTAAAGTTAAAAGACATGCCGAGTTGCTGCACCCCTGCCCCTCAAAGCAGTGGCCTCATGTCCACCCACCCACACAGATGTACACTCACCCATTCAGCTTTAGCAGTGATACTGTTGGATAGGATGGAGATGATTCAAGCTACACAATCTTGCGTCACCTCAGGATCCTGCAGCCTCCAAAGCTGCCCTGTGTACACACAGCACTGTGAAAATCTTCAAAGTGTGTGGCATGTGGAAGGGGGGCACTAGCCAGGGGGGGAGCTGTACAGAAGTCACAGGCAAAGCACCAAAGCAAATGTGGCACTGCCAGACATCTTTAGGGGTATTTATTCTCATGTGCACACTAGCCTATTGTTTTGGAAGTTCATGCATATCCATTACTTCACATGATTGAAATATCCCCTGAAGCCTACAGTTTCAGTCAGGGTTTAGATTCAACTTGTTTGGTCAAGTGATGAAGGGCCTTTTACAGCACCACATGCCCTAGTTGAGTCACTGTCTTCATTCTCTTGTTTCCCCATTCAGCCTGTTGTATCTGTCTCAGGGGAACAACCACAGGAGACACCCAAGGGGATAGAAACGGACATTTTTGCATAATATAGCTTGGATAGCTGCCAGTGTGGCATTTTTTATTCTTGGTCCTGAGCCATGTGCTCAAGCGTGCACAAACAATGTATACTGGCATAGTATGTCCCTGTAGCTTGTGTAGTTTGACTTGTGTCCTGCTTGTTCATTGGAAGTAGTTCCCTTTATTGTTCATACATTTGAGCTTTTTTTTTCATGTTCAGTAGCTGAGACTGTTGGAGAGTAGGATGGCATTACCTAATTCCCCCAAGCCTGAGGCCTGATAAAACATCAAGAGTCCTGATACTAAAGCAACAACTAGGGGACACTTATTTACTTTTGAAAAGCATGTGATGCATTAGACTGATCATATACTCTTTTAATCTCTTGGTCTTCCAAAAATGTTGCCGCTGTTTGTAGCAGAAAGGATGGGATGGAACATTCTGATATAAATCTAAAGCCAGTGTGGTTTTGAAAACAGCCCTGGCGTCATGTTTGATAGAGGCCCAAGTACTTTTGGTGTTGTTGTTGGCATCGGCTTCGCTGCTTAGCTAAGACAGGCGAGCAGACAGTAGAGAGACAAAGCTAACACGAGACATATGCAACAGGCAGTGGAAGTACGTACCTCTCTGCTGACTCTTGTTTTGGAGTGGCTTGTTGTCTTTCTCACATTCACTCTCCTCTTCCAAGAGCGTTTCCTCAGCCCCAGCGTTCACCTTTCCCTGCCCTTGTTCTTTTGCTCTTTGTAGTGATTACACCTTCACCAAGGGAATGGTGCTTTCTACTGTGTCAGCAGTTTTTGCCTCCGCTGTCCCTCCACATTCAGGATGTTTCATTCAGAAAACATGAACTGACCCCCCATCCCTGCCCCGTCTGACTCCTGTTTACTTTCATTCAATTTCAGTGAGCAGACTCTACTTCCTATTATGAAGCAGCTGAAATTGTGAAGAAAAGCCCTTTTGTTTTTCAGTATAAAAGGTTGTTAGAATTTCTCTCCTCAGGGATGACAGAAGGGGATCTGTATTTTGAAGTTGTCTTTTAATAGGGGGCTGGTGCCAGGCCTCTCATATGTTGCATAAATCTAGAATATAGTGCTGTAATCTTTCAGGAGAATCCACGAGAGAGCCAGGCTTGGTGAGAGAGAGCTTTATTTGCTTTTTCCACTGGCCCAGATAATCGCCTTGTTATTCTCAGTCCTGTTGGTGAGGGCTCCGAAGCATTGTTCAAGTGTCTCGCTGTCTGGTCTCCAACAACCACGCTCCACCGGTTCATCCATTCAGAGGAAGGTTACATATATACACAGGATCTCCCGTGTTGGGAAAGCCC